GAGGAGGAGAAGAGGAGAGAGGAAGAGGAGAAAAGGAGGGATGAGGGAAGAATAAAAAAGGTACATGTAACAATTAAGCTCAATAACAACCAAAATTCATGTAAATTCAAACAACTGTTGTTGATGCCGTCAGATTACGTCTGTGTTATTTATTAGACAACAAATACGAATATTTCAGAGATACATGTGTATGTGACATCCCTTAACAATAACACAATACATCTCTGTGCTGGCTCTGATCTCTCTACTGGTGAGTGATGGGCAAGCTTTCTTGTCTCACAGGCCGACTCTCAGAAAAGGACAACGACCCTGAAAACACATACGAGTACATTAATTATATACTATACATATACTATTGTATTATTATTATGACAGCAAAGATGTAATCAGATGAATTATGATAAGTCAATTTTTTATTTGATAATAATCATTATGATCATACGTGTAATACTGAGGGTGCGGCGGCGGAGCGGTTAGTGCGCTCGTCTCCGAAGCGGAAAGTCCGGGTTCGAGCCTCGATTCGCACACTGAGTTTTTTCTCCCCCTCCTGCCCACCCATTGTAATGGGTACCTGACTTCGTGAGTTGGGGAAGTAAAGGCGGTGTGGAAAGGAACTGGCCACCCTACTACAATATGCCGAAGGCCCAGGAAATTGTCTCACTAACAAGACAATCCCCAATGTCCGGATCGGGTGCGGGAACAATTATATAATAATAACAAAAATCATCATCATCATCATCATCATCATCATCATCATCATCATCATCATCATCATCATCATCTCATCTAGGCAATGCTTAGTTTATCTTTGTAGCCTTCTTGGGCACCTTTATTAATTACATGTATTCTATTCTATTCACGAAAGATATTTTTCAACATTCTAAGAAGAATCTATAAAAAGCAAATTGAATGCAGTTGACTGACATTCTGCGCTCGTCAGTTATTCGGGGACCGGCGTCTGTTGTTTAGAGGTTAGACACGTTACTGTCACATGCAGGAGAACTGAGTTTGATCCCCGCGTAGGGAGAAAATTTCCATCGAGTGTCTCGGTCTTTTTGCTATGATAATAATGTATCCCCCCCCCCCCCCTCCCCCCGGGTTGGCCCTTTCAGACAGGGTCGGACGCGGGCCTTATAAAGAATATCATTATAATTTGTGTTGATAGGGGTGTAAAAAAAAAATACCAACATTTTTTTAAAGTTATTCAGGGCTACCATCCACAGCAGCAAGCCCCTGGCGTTTGGAAAGCAAAAGACATAATACATTATGCAGTTGGGGTTGTGTTTTTTGTGTTTTTTTAGTTTTAGTAAAAGTTTTACGGCACTTGCAACACAGTAAGGTCATATAAGTGCCGAAGATTAGAGGTGTTGCAAGAGAGTAGCAAACACAAAAAAGAAGGAGAGATCAGGGCGATAAATGTTTGATATGAAAGAAGGAGCAAACCACACCTGAGCACCCGTCAACCATCCACTTACATGCAGTTTGAGGTAAAAATATAGACACACACTTTTCTGAGCATTCTGCCTTTACTATACTTTGTTCTCTCAAAGAAGTCCTCCTCAAGGATGGAAAATACACGAGCAGTATGGAAAAAGATATGTCCACCATCAGAAACCGACCGACCGTAAATTGTACGTCTTTCGGAGGGGAGGGGGGGGGTCGGTAGTTTAAATATAGCACCGGGGTTGGGTTGTTGTTTTTTTGCCTTTTCAATCAGTGAAAATTTCGTTTGGATACGTCTACCTAAACGACACGACACCTCGCGACAAAAGACGGGATTGTTGGAATGCTGCACGCAGCATTATTTCGAGTCGGGTCATGTGATGAATCATCAGCCACAGACCCAGCCAAAGCTAAAAAAAAAGATTTCTAATTTTCAGCTCGCATGAAAAATCGCAAGTCATGTTTTTAATCAGCGCCTCAAATTAGCTTGCTTTATCAACTCGCACACCGTCTGGTTTATATGCATATTTTTTTACTTTAAAAAAAAGAACCATTAATATCTTATTCCCACCTTGCATTCATGATGTCATCGTCCTCTTGACTATTCATAATGAAACACAAAGCCCTATATGAACCGAGAAATGGCACCGTGTCGTCAGGACTAAGAACGTATTGGTGGACGCGCAAGCCAAAAAAAGGAACAGACCGCATTGTCCCCTCCCGACCAATTTTTTTAAAAATCTAGTAGTTCCGGCTTTGGTAGACACGCTGCCCAACAACTGTCTCTGGTCGGTACTATACTTTTCAATTCATGTTTCCTATTTTCAAGTGAGCTCTGTGAGAACATAAGGTCAAATTAAATATAATTATACTGTTTCATCAGACCAATCTTAGTCATGATTCAATGAAGACTCGTCATTTGTGTACGGGTTGCCCATTTGGGAATCGGGTTGGGTCGGTTCGGTTTACCAGCGGTATTACGGGGTGCCCATAAAAGGTGATCCAGTCGGATCGGGGCGTTTTGCTATCCAGATTGAGGGCGCCAAGCGGATATGGCGGCACAGGCTGATCGCTTCCGACTCGTCGCCTCAAAAACAAATGGGTTTTTTTTGGCAACGAGTCGGATGATCATCCCGACCCGACCTGACCCGACCCCATCCGCAATGGGCACCCGGTAATACACAGGCCTTTTGAGGCGCTCACTGTGGGTCATTCCGATAGGGGCGACGAAAAGTGTCACGCCAGAGGTGTAATCTGTAACTGCCGAGCGGGGTGGAGGAGGGACTGCAGCTTCTCTGACTGTGCGATACACCCCCCCCCCCCCCCCCAATAAATTGATGGTGATAATGGTAGTAATAATAGTAATAATAATATTAATAATAATTTTAATAATAGTAATGATAATAATAATAATAATAATAATAATAATAATAATAATAATAATAATAATAATAATAATAATAATAATAATAATAATAATAATAATAATGATAATAATAGATAATTGCAGCAACAAGAAGAAGAAAAAGAAGAAGAAGAAGAAGAAGAAGAAGAAGAAGAAGAAGAAGAAGAAGAAGAAGAAGAAGAAGAAGAAGAAGAAGAAGAAGAAGAAGAAGAAGAAGAAGAAGAAGAAGAAGAAGAAGAAGAAGAAGAAGAAGAAGAAGAAGAAGAAAGGAGAGGGTGAGGAAGAGGAGGATAAGGAGAAAAAAGGAGGAGGAGGAGGAGGAGGAGGAGGAGGAGGAGGAGGAGGAGGAGGAGGAGGAGGAGGAGGAGGAGGAGGAGGAGGAGAAGGAGGAGGAGGGAGAGGGTGAGGAAGAGGAGGATAAGGAGAAAAAAAGGAGGAGGAGGAGGATGAGGAGGAGGAGCAGGAGGAGTAAGAAGGAAGAGGAGGAGGACGATGATGATGATAATAATAATAATAATAACAACAACAACAACAACAACAACAACAACAACAACAACAACAACAACAACAACAACAACAACAACAACAACAACAACAACAGCCTATGATAACAATAGCCTACTATCAGGAACTGTAGGAAGAGAAGTCACAGACGTTGTTAGCTCCCGCAGGTAACAAACATGATGAAGAGTGTAAAATAAAGGCAACATGGCTATGTTCATGTACATGTACCTAATAACAAACAACTTATACATGTACTACTGAACTACTGATCTTAAATGTCGCAGAGAGCAGCGCTTTTCCCCTTCCTAAAGCCTAATAGGGGGTGCCCATCAGCACGATCGCGTCGAGTCGGGTCGTCTGGTCGGGTCGTTTTTTGGTAGTTTCATTGCAAACACAACTCTGCTCTATTGCACCCGACGACCTGGAAGTTAAAGTAGAGAAACCTTTAACCTCAATGGCTTCCTGGGCTCCCTTCCGCAGTTCCCTGATGCCGTGCTGCGACAGCCTGGAATCCAATAAACATGGGTTACATCGATAACTTTCTAATATCAAAGATCGTTAATAACAAGATAGTTTACTCGGCCAAAAAAGTGTCCGCGGAAGTCCATGCATTGATTCAGATGGCGCTGCAGTCTTTGTTTTGACGCTCTCTTTCGTTTCTCCTGAAGAAGAATAGGAATAGCACAGTTTGTTGGTTTCGCTTTTATTGTTTTTCACACAAGTAAAATAACGGTAACTCTGTTCGCAAAGTCTGCACTTTTTGAAGAGGGCACCACCGGATTTTGAGTGTCAACATGGACATGTGACTCAGCCTTGTTGCGATTGGTTGCAAACCATCCGATCGCGATACTCGCAGGCCTGAAAACAAATGCGTTTATGTTAAAACATCGGTTTGTGCCACGATGGCCGCTTTGCGCCCTCAATTTGGCCAGCCCTGACTACCAAATCGACCCGATCCGACCCGATCGCGCTAGTGGGTACCTCCTATAAAGCAGTGTGCTCATCTGTCTAAACATAACACGATTACATGTAGGCCTGTGCTGTCAAAAATTCAAGGCGCAACTTATTGTCAAATGTTATTTCCTCAACTATCAAACATAAAGTATCCAGGTTTTGCACAATACTTGTGTCAATTTGTCTTAACAGATCAATATTTTTATAAACATCCGTTAGCTAAACCAAACCTTCTATGGCTTCGCTTGACGTGACCTTCAAGCGATGAGGGTACACAAGCATTCTTTTCGTATTGCCTCTTGCCAGTCAGCTTACACCATGTGCTTCTCCACTTTTTCCAGTGCACTCATCGAGTCCGTGACGAGGATGGAAGACTGATGCTCCGTCGCCCCAGTTTAGGGCCTCTGTGATAAGATAAGATAAGATGAGATAATATAAGATACATTTGTATTGTCCAGATCCTGGCACATTGGTTTGGTGTTTACCCACGTACGTACACACACACACACACACACACACACACACACACACACACACACACACACATCATACACACTCACACAAACATGCGCGCACACACGCACACACATGCACATTTGCACACCCATAAAAACACACACACCCTTCCCTCATGCCTACTCTCTTCCACAAGCATGTGTCCACGTAACCATTTATTATGTTTGCACTCACAAACAGGCTCACAGTCACGTGTGTAATATAAATGAACAATAGCGTTAAGTTAGATACGCGCTCAGCACTCTGATTGTAACTCAATGGTATTCTGATGCATGCTTTAAAAGTCATATGAATAGCTATAACAAGATGATTTACATGGAAGAAGTTTAATGGATGATGGTAAGAATGACCTTCTGTGCTTTTCTTTGTTACAGATCAGAAGCCGGTGTCTTTTAGCATGCTTCTGACTGATATTTCTATTTGAGGGATCAAGGGATGTTTATTGTCTAAAAGATGGAATTAATTATTGTTCTACTAATGCAAGCTATATTGTACAATTAATTCGTCGAGGTAGGGGAATGTAGATGTTGAAATTTTGCACGCTTTCCGTATAAATCTTCAATTTTTCTTTATCTTGTTGTCTTGTGTTCCCTGCCCATATGCTATTATACAGAAATTGATTATACTTTCTACGGTTCAATGACAGAATATGGACATCAATGATTTATCAACTTTAAAATGTATGAGCGTCCTTAGGAAAAAAATCTTTTGTTCACTTTTTTTAGGCAGGGGAGAATTGGACATGCCAGTCGAGTTTGTTGTCTATTGTAACAGTACACACCCAAATACTTATAACCTGAAACTTGCTCGACGTTTTAATTTTCAATTTCGAGTGGTTGCAGGGGCAATTTCTTTTTTCTGAAGTCAACAAGTTGTTTGGCTTTCTTTTCCATACATTATGCTGGACGTTGTTATGCTGGTGGCGCCTGACTGCTCTCTCTCTCTCTCTCTCTCTCTCTCTCTCTCTCTCTCTCTCTCTCTCTCTCTCTCTCTCTCTCTCTCTCTCTCTCTCTCTCCTCTCTCCTCTCTCTCTCTCTCTCTCTCTCTCTCTTTCTATCTCTCTCTCTCTTTCTATCTCTCTCTCTCTATATATATATATATATCTATCAATATATATATATATATATATATATATATATATATATATATATAGAGAGAGAGAGAGAGAGAGAGAGAGAGAGAGAGAGAGAGAGAGATATATATATATATATTATGTGAGGCAGCGTGGTGGAATCAGGCTCTCGTCAGATTTTGGGCTTGTCAAGTTATTGGTATCATGTTACAGCTTGTTCAATTGTCTTTATTTATACGAAAAAAATATCCATCTATCTTGAATACAAGTCGAGATATTTGCGAATGTTTTCAAAGATAAAATTTGTGAGAAAATGGCCGCCAAAGATTAGTTTCCTTAGCTTAAGAGTCCTTGGTAACTGAAAATTTACATTTTTTGTGCCTTTAATAAACATTTTTTCAGAAAAATTCACACAGAAATGGGTTCTTTAATAGGCATGAAAGGTGTTTAGTGAAAAAACAAACATTTGATAAAAATCCACAAACCAGCAGAAAAATGCAAGTTTCTTCACTTTGATTATTTTGACAAGAGCCTGATTCCACCAGGCTGCCTCACATTTGTGAAGAGAAGATAACTAGCCTACGTCAATCTTTTAACTGTTCTCCACTATCAGCGTCTCTACCTCAGCATTGGCTGCCCCCCCCCCCCCAACACCACCAAAAAAATAAAAAACTGCTCCGCCTTAATACTTTATTCGAGGTAAGGGTTTATTCTAATTCCGTTCCCCACAAAGAAGTGATTAAGCCCACTTCTAGACCCCCGTATTTGTAGAGCGGGGAGGTTCTTCAGGGGAGGAAAATTTAAAAAAATCTTTGACCCGGGGAAACCCTGGCGCGTTTCAACGTATTGGAAAATCCGGGGGATATGCATTTCCTCTCGGTGTCTTCGGGGGCACCCAAAAAGTCCGCCCACCTCCGTTCTGAATCTTCTCTCAAGCGACTAAAGCTCCATGCGTAGAACGGGGGGGGGGCTTATGGCCATTGTGTTCTACTGTATATGACCCACTATAGCACTGGGTATTGGTTGGGGTGTGGGAGGGTGTGG